TAAGAGTACATTTATATATGTCGTACTTGTCAGCTGTACGACATATAGACCAAAAGACCAAAGAAGAAAAAAAAAAGTTAATCACCTTATAACACATTTCGACTTTTATACTGATCCTTTAATTTAATTTACTGGTTTTTAAATATATCAATAAATTGAAGTATCTTAATAACTGATCATTCATTTATTCTACTGATCATTCAATTATTTTACTGATTTTATAGTTATTTTACGTACTGATCATTTCATTTATTCTACTGATCGCTTAAATGGTAGCCATAATAAAGATAACATCCGATTTCAATTGTCCCAAATGTAACATGGGTGGTAAAGACTTCACACAGGCCACATAATACAAAATTAAATGAAGCTTGTGTCACGTGCAACTATGTATATCATATACCATATCCATTTTAAGAGCATAATGTTATTTATTTCTCTTTTTATACAAATGAACATAAATCATATATATGAAATCGAAATGAATAAACATTGATATATATGGGCGTGACCAGCGGTATGAGACTCCGATTTCCTTTCTTTCCATTATCAGTTAAAAGCCTTAACCATATTCGAGTCAAATTATCACACTCATCACCAAGCTACTAAATTTACAATATTAGCTGCTGATGGCTGTCTCATATGAAATTATTCAGCCCCTTAAAAATGATAGGACACCGATTTCAGAAACTGGATAATTTGATATAAGACAGACATCAGCAGCTAATATTTTAAATTTAGTAGTTTGGCGATGAGTGTGATAATTTGACTCGAATATGGTAAGGGTTTTTAACTGATAATGGAAAGAAAGGAAATCGGGGTCTCATACCGTTGGTCACGCTTATATATAATAGATAAAAAGAGATTGAAAGCACTACACGATCATGATTTCGACTTGGTTTAAAGGTCTCCTCAGACTGTTCAGTGTTATGCATTGTAAGAATTGATCTTACATGAAATGAAAAGACAAAAGCCTAAAAATTATTCACCAACAGTGGTGATATAGGGTGCCAGAACGAGTTTTGACTTGACTTTAAGTCTCATCGTTTGGTACATGCTGCAAACAATTGCAGTAGAATTCCATGTGATATGAATATCACATTGGAATATGTCGCCTGAATGTATATATATTGAAATTGGTTTATGAGAAATAAATCGGTGACTGAGTAGTCGTCACTTGGAACAACTAATCAGATTCAAGATATAAGAAGGTTATACTCAGAATAACTGCCATAATCTAGATTTCGTTTCTATAACTAGACTCCTGTGAGAATAACTTCAAAGAATTCATATTATTCA